ACTGGCCTAAGGGGAAATTTTTAGCGGGGTTTTTAAAAAACAATTTTAAATTAATCAAAGGCCAAATCTAATATTTCATTTTAATTATGTTTTTTAACGATAGTATTGGGGTATTTTTGTATTTGTTTTTTATCAGGCTGTCAGCCGCCCTGAGTCCGTAAGGAGAAGGGCGGGGTAAAAATTCAATTAAATAAATAAATAAATAAATAAATAGATCTTACATTCCAGGTTCCTATGCAATATTGTTTTTTATAACATTGGACTTTACTTTCACCACCAGACACATTCACAGCTGAGCATCTTTTTGGCTTTGGCCTACTCTCTCTGGGTGAATTGTAATTTGTAATTGTCTTCCATTCTTCCCCAGTAGCACATTGGACACCTTCAGACCTGAGGGACTCATCTTCTGGCATATCTTTTAGCCTTTTGATACCATACATGGCAAGGATACTAGAGTGGGCTGCCATTTCCTTCTCCAGTGGACCATGTTTTGTCAGAACTCTTCACTATGACCTGCCCATCTTGAGTGGCCCAGCATGGCTTAGCTCATAGCTACTTTGATCTACGCAAGCCCCTTTGTCAGAAGGCAATGATCGCATCTATCCCCAATGGAATCCCATGCCACATTTTTGACATGGTTTGGAATAGCAATAGCAATAGTACTTAGGCTTATATACTGCCCATAGTGCTTTACAGCACTTTCTGGATGGTTTACAATGTCAGCATATTGCCCCCAACAATCTGGGTCCTCATTTTACCAACCTCGGAAGGATGGAAGGATGAGTAGCCTTGAGCCCTGTCAGGATCACACTCCAGGCTGTGGGCAGAGTTTGCCTACAATAGTATATTTATCCACCAGGGCACTAGGAATCAGTTACTACTGGTGGATGAATGCAGTTTTACTACTGACTAGTCCTCAAAACCATAATAGAGTCTGTCCATGTGATTGACTCAATTTTATGACTTTTTGCAGCAGTCATAAAGTGACCACTATTGTTAAGTGAATCCATAGTTCATTATGGAATATTTTTGCTGAAAACCAGAAATAAATGCCAATTTTTGGCAAAAACATAAATTGTGATCATGTAACTGATCAAATGCACTCAAAATGTAATGTGACCACAGGGGAGGGGGTGGCCATCAGAACTTTGGAACAGGCTTGTAAGTGGAGTGCGTTTTGATCGAAACTTTGAACAGTCATTAAGCAACCAGTCGTAAGTCAAGGACGACCTATACTTCTGCTTCTTTCCACACTTCTCACTATAATATTTTCTACTATAAGCCTGAAAGCATTTCTATGGCATGCTACCATGGTCTTGGCAGAAGACAGTTCTTTATAGCAGTAATTCTTCCTTTCCATTGCATTCTGGAAGATACACTTGCTTAATTCAGTTTCTTGGGAGACCTATGTCCTTGTCCTTTCCCTGTTTCTTCCATGAACTCAGTGATGTAAATCAAGAATGATTCAGGCTTAGAAAGTAATTGGTCCTATTGTCTACCATAAACCAGACTATTTTGTTGTTATTCATCATATGTGCTACATTCCTGATGTAGCAGTCAAGCAGTTTTGCCAGTTCTCGCTATACTCAAAATATACTTAATAGTCTGCTAGAGAAGCAAAACCTCTAAATGCTGGAACGTGTGCTGACATGACCCTATTTGGGTTTGGAGCATCCTTGTGTCACTCAGACAAGACACTTCATTTACTCTGCAGTTTGTTTTCAATAAAATTTGGAACAATGGAACCAGTTATCCAGATTCCCTTTTGTACTGGATATTTTCAAAAGAAAGCTAGACAGCTGTCTGTCTTGAGATATTTCTTATGGGTTCCTGCACTGAGCAAAAGGTTTTAACCTGAAACCTAAATGGCTCTTCTAACATGATTCAATGTAATCAAAATATTAAAGTACACTGTGATGATTCTGACAGCTAGCTACCAGCTTTAGTCTTTAAATATTATCTCATACAGCCCAAAGGTATTTAGGGCAATAAAAATGGAGGTCAATTTTCATTTCACAATCTCCCAGAGTGTTTTTTTTTTAATATTAAATCACCGTTATGAATAAGGTACTTTGCAAGCAATGGCCCTCTAATATGCAAGTGGAAGTGATCAAAAGAAGTAATATAGGATTAGCTACTGCAATGGATTCTTGAGTCAAAGTTAATACAAAATATAAGGCAGCAAATGCATTAAAAGATAATCAATTTGATCCATATTTCCCAAAAATCAAAGCCCACCTAGAAGCCACTATTAACCAGCTGTAGACTCCATGCCAAGAAAAGGAGGCTAAACTCTGAAATCAAAGTAGATGATGCTGCTTGGTCCCTTGATGGGCCAAACCTGGCTGTCCCTATTGCTTCTTCCGCCTCTTCTCACGAAGCAGCTGGCGATAGCACAAGCTCTTGGGATTGAGACCATAGGCTTGGAGCCTCTGGTAACTGAACTCTGAGCCTTTCATTCGTATCTTGGTGCCCAATACCAACCCCTTTCTGCCTCTCTTTTTTGATCTCTGAACTTGGGGGGGCACAGAACAAGAGCCATTTGAAACAGAAGCATCAAATTCTTTTCCTGTAACAGAATCTGTTGTGGTCTTGCAAAACAAAAGTCCTTCCTCCTCACAACCAGCACTAACCAGCTGTGTTTCTTCTGAAGAGTGCCCAAAACACTTGGTTTCCCTGCTCTTTTTTCTCTTCTTGGGCTGAGGCTGCTTTCCATCTTTTTCCATTCTGCAAAAAAAATCATGTGGCCAAATCAGATTCAGAGCATATAGAATAAAAAAAATCTAGTCTCAAGACAGCAGTACAAGTAAAGCATCAAAGACCCTTGGCTCAACATCAAAGATCCTCAGCTCACCCTCAAAGCTAAAGTTCTAAAGAAAGGAGAGAAAACAAAGTTTGTTTCTTCTCAGGGTCAAAATTTTCAGCTACATTAAGTAAAAGCAGATAGCAACTATACAAAGTGAGTAATGAAGAGAAAGGCTCCCATGATAGTTGGAAAAAGGATAGAAAGGAAAATCCCTCCCTGGGTAAATCTAATTGCTTTCATTTTCTTCAATATTACTTTCTAAACCTGAACTTTTGGAATTATTCTAGTTAATTATACAGGAAAAGAACTACTTTTCAGGCTGGATCAGCTACAGCCTAGGCCTCAGAGGACATACCCTATTCGAAGGGATTTGAGAATCTGTTTCTTCTTCCAAGCATCTTGGCTTTTCTTCGCATAGATCGCCTTCTCCTGCAACTCTTCTTTTTCTGATCTGTTCAGAAAACATGCAAATCCCTTTTCTTCTGAATCATCCCAGCACCATTTAGTATCTGGTGTAGGATGGGAGAGGAAAATGGCATGGAATAAGGGACTTTCTGAAATCTAGTTTTTAAAAGGCAGAAACCCAAAGAAATGGATAACTGACTTATAATTTGCCCTTATCTTATGGAAGGAAAATACAGGAATGCATATTTTCACACTTAGATCTTATTATTACAAGATTTCATTTTTTAAAAAAACCATTAAACACCCATGCCTTACTATATTTCATGTTATTAGATAATAAAGGGACATTATTAGGAATTCAAGACAAGATAGAGTTCTAAAAATATTTCTTTGTCCAATTTTAGTCCTACCATGTCTTGTTCTATGACTTTACTTCTTTGCCCCACCCAATACTTGCTGATTACTAGGCTTCTTTGCCCATTAACTACTAGCCTATGTAGTTAATTAACTACACAAACTAGTAGTTAACTAAGAAGCAATAGTAATACTATAAAATAGTAATATAATATTAATATAATATATAATGTAATATACAATATAATAGTAAAAAATAAAAAAGTAAAAAAGTAATATTAAGTAATTAACTAAGGAGAATTAATTAATCAGTGGAACAGCTTGCCTTCAGAAGTTGTAGTGTCACTGGAGGCTTTTAAGAAGAGTGGATAGTCACTTGTCTGAAATGGTATAAGGTCTCCTGCTTGAGCAGGGGGATGGACTAGATGACCTCCAAGGTCCCTTCCAAGTCTGTTATTTTGTTCTGTCCTAGTCCTTTTGGGCGGAGGAGGGGGAGCCAAGAAATGTTAGAGCCCAAGTCTCGATCTCCATGTCATGTTCTGGATTCCAGCCATTTATAAATAGCTCCTTTCTGCTTTATGTTGCTACCCCTCACCTGTACATGCAGGTCTTCCGTAGAGAACACCAGCGGTTCAGCTCTTTATCATCAGCAGTCAAAATCTTAAAAGAGAAAGACCATTGGTTTTTTTATGTTTCTTTTAGTGCAAAATGTATTCACTCTGAACCTTTTCCTACACTATGAAGAAAGCTGTCCTATGTTCTAGTATACAAAACGTTTACCTCTTCAGTTGACAGTCCATAGTTGCAGGGAACAACTGTGTGGTACTTAAAACGACAAGGAAGGTCACCTATCAGGTCCTCATATTCCAAGTGGTAGAACTCATCCAAATATTGTTCAAATGTCTTTGTTTCTGCAGAATTCAAGAGAATTAATGGAAGTCAAGATATGTTACTCTTTCAGATTCTGCCCATCCTTCTTTCTCTAGTTACATCTTCTTTGGACTATCTATAATACGTATCCCAAAACTTCCATAATTCTAATATCTGGATGATTCTACTTCCCTCCCCACACACCTTTGCTTTTTGTATTAGCAGCTTAGTGAATATTTCTAGGGAACTCAAATACCTTTATATTTCTATGGCATCTTGCTTGGTTGTAATAAAGACAGTATGCTCTGATAGATACCTAGCTACCGTGTTTCCCCGAAAGTAAGACCTACCCCGAAAAATAAACCCTAGCTTAATTTTTGAGGTGGGCCTAATATAAGCCCTACCCCCAAAATAAGCCCTAGTTTTGGAGTGAGGCACATGCCTAAAAATCAAGCTAGGGCTGGGGTGGGAGCTTACCATTGCAGCCAGGCCTCCAAAGGATTGACACTTGCCTTACCAACCCACTTCTGTGGCCAAAGGATCAAATTCATTCTGCAGCTGAGAATGGAGCTCCGGCCTGCATTTCGCAGTCAGAGGCCGTTCCGGAAGGTCTCTGGCTGCGAAATGCAGGCCAGAACTCAATTCTCAGTTGCAGAATGAAGCTGCTCCTTTAGCCACAGAAGAAGTGGACCAGCTGGGCGGGGCTGTCAATGCTACCGCTGCAAGAGGAGTGGAAAAGACACCCCTCCCTGAAAATAAGACCTGGTGCCTCTTTTGGAGGCAAAAAAAAAAAAAGGACTGGGTCTTATTTAAAAAAGCAGTATAATTTTAAATCAATCCTCACAAGCCTTGCCAATGACTCATTCAGAGAAAGTTTTCTCTCCAAATTCTTACCAGGATCAAATGGCTTTTTTTCCTGAGAGATGGTCTCTGCAAATGGTGACTTGCATTTCTTCTTCTCTAGAAGAGGAATCTTCAATTTCTTTTTCTTTTTGAAATGGGTTGGTTGCTGGGAGAAGTCATAATCTGCATCCATCTGAAGAGGTGGTGTGTAGAGGACAGCAAGGATGAGAAACACAGAGCCAGTCTCAAAGCCATAAACCCAAAGTTGGAAGCAGAGCCCCCTTACCCCAGGATTCACATAAGAAAGGCAAAATAACTCCCTTCTCAGACAAACAAAAAAACTGCTATCCACATTTTGTAACTCCCACCCATCTACCCATCGCCAGCATTTACCTAGACATCAAATTGAGCCCCTTGACTTTTTACCATAGAGAACCTAGACTGCTATACTTTGCATTTAAGAAACAATGCTTTTTCTTTTGAATCCTGAGGTTTGCAGCCCTCACAGAGGAACAAATACTGCACAAAAAGACTTCAGCAGGAAAGTCTATAGACTCAGTGAAAGACTAAGAAAAAAAATCAAGCCAAACCCACAGGTTCAATCACCCCTGATTCCTATACATCTCTGTTTTCGTTGAGTATCTTTAATCCTTTGAAGTATACATGGATTATACTGGCTGTAGACTATGGCTGTCCTTGGGTTTAATGTTGGTCTTCCAAATCTGGGGCATTACCTGCTGGCACTAGGCAGCTCTGGCTGTAGCGCAAAAGGGCCAGAAGACAACAGTTTCCCTTTCTTGTGCCATACACAGCTACAATTAAGAAGTCAACATACCACAAAGTCAAGGTCCTCACAGTGTGGTTGGTGATCTTCCTCCTGCTGCTGCTGCCACATTCCACCATCCCTTCCAGTCCAGTTGTCCCAATTCCATTCACCTGAATTTGGGGTATAGGAAGGGGGAAGAGAAAGAAAGTGTTTTTAAGCAATGATTCTGTAGCTCTTACTGGTTCTTCAACTTCATTTAGCCAATGAGGACACACTTGACACACTATAGAGTTCACTCTTCCTGTATTCAATGCATACTCACAGACTGATGTAGAATCTGGATAAAAAAACACTACATCTTAAATGTCATTTAGCGTAATTCCATTCTTTCGTTTAAACTTTTCAGTGTTCTAAATCTATTCTAGGGATGTCCTGCATAATAAATAGCAATGTGCACCAATTAGTCCTAAAAAATTCATGCTCCAAATGGCTCCTATTCTTCTATGTCCTAAGTCAGGGGTATCAGACTACTGGCCCACAGGCTGGATGCATCATGTGGAAGCCACGCCCACCCCAGCTCCGGCAAGGGGGATGCGGCGAGTTTGACACCCCTGTCCTAAGTCATTGGGGTTTTTTACTTATATATATGGTTAATGATATCCCCAATTCTCCAAGCAACTTTCTGTCAAAGTGATCTTCTTCTTCTTCTTTTATGACTTGTGGACTTCAACTCCCAGAATTCCTCAGCTTATAAATGTCTTGTGTGCCAGTGTGGTCAGATGGTTATGTGATTGGTTGTTTGTTTGGAGCTATATTTATATTTATATTTAAATTCTGAGCAGTTGATTGGTTCTCTTGTTGATTGATAAACAATTCCCAAAATACTGTTTTTTCATATGAATAGCAACTTTTCCTCGCTCCAAGATGTCCCAACATACCGTCACTTCCTTCTTCAGTTTCAAATTGTGGTTTCTCTTCCTCACCAACTCCATAGTATTCATCCCCAAAATAATTCTAGATAATGAAAAGGTAACATTTAGCATTCTTAAAGCCACATTTTTCTTCCCCATTTGAGTTTTTTAAACAAAAAAGTATAGCTGATTGAAACTGTTTTGCAGTGCCTGCTCTCTGCAATGCTTATAACTCATGAACTGTGCACAGAGCCTAAGGAAAGAGTGTCAAACTGTCGGCCTGCGGGCTGGCTGCGTCACGCTGAAACCGCACGCACCCCGTTGCCAGCAATGGAGAAAAAGTCGCAATATGTCGCAACACGTCATGCGACGTGAGTTTGACACTCTTGGCCTAAGGGCTCCTAATTGTGTTGAAGGGTTGCCTCATATGGCTAAGGCAAGAAACCCCTCCCTCGAGACAGACATGATCTGTAACTGATTGGATGCTGCAATTGCTTATCTTTGCAGCAGAAGCTCATATGCAATCAGCATGACAGCAATTAGAGCTTTTAATATAATTGGGGATCCACAATTTTTTATCAAAATATAAACATGCTAATATATTAAATTGGCAATAATAAACTGCATTTATTTTCCTTTACCTTATTTACTCTATACCTTTATTCTTATTTATCTTTACCTTTTACTTATTTACTTTTAGCTTTACTTATTTACCTTTACTCTTATTACCATGTTGACCCGGACTTAGGGGACAGTAGCAATTGTGAATACGTCCAGATGACCCCGCTCTCTCTGGCCATTTGCAGAACCATGAATACAAGGTCATGAAAGGACAGCAAAGGAAATACCCAACATTCTAACCCACCCGGGAACATATGGTGTCTTGGGGAAATACCCAAACCACCCAAAAGGGAACATATTAGCTACTTCTGCTTTCTTCCTTCTTATCTACAGTGTGCCAGCCTTAAAGGGCAAAGTCTTTATGTTATGTGTGTCAGCTTTGCTGGGTGAATTGCTTATGTAACCAAAGTAGGTATAAAAATAAGGCTTTTTCGACATTTAGGGCTTTTTCTCTTTTTAGAGAAGCCCGTCTTTGTTCAGCTGAATAAACACGTAACTCTTGAAGGCAACTTCTAGTTTCCTGTATTTTTTATCAAGCAAAACCTCAGAACCTGCATATCAACCAAGCAAAAATACTATTTACATAGTTAATGCTTTTGTAACTAATTAGAGGGGCCCATCCCTACAGAAACAAATAATTGCACCTATAAATCTCACCAACTTCTATCCAAACTGTATCATCATCATCATCATCATCATCATCATCATCATCATCATCATCATCATCATCATTATTATTATTATTATTATTATTATTATTATTATTATTGCACCACCATGGCTTTTAATCATGTTCCTAGCTCTAAAAGGGACCATTTTCCTAAAAGTGACTGGTTTTGTTCCCAAAGAATAACTTCACAATATCCACTCAGAGTTGCTTGGAACTACGAGATGGGTGGCAAATAAATTTGATAATAATAATGACTGATGATAATAATAATCAAGGCATATCCTGCCATGGCTTGATTCGCAAACCCTGCTTACAGCCAGACAAGAAGCAACGGGGAAGGAGTGGGTTGGAATGAAAGGGAGGGGGTAATAGAATGCAAGAGCACTGACTTCGAGATGAGACATACCAGCGTTCCAAGGTCACTGGCTGGGAAAGTTCATCAGAGTCTGTTTCCCAAATAAATTGAACATAATTGATTGGATGGAATAAAGTGACAATGGGATGGCCAGGGAAAAGGGGAACGTTTAACTATGTTACCATTAGAATTTGTTTCCCTACTTTCGTATCCATTTCTGCTCAGTAAATTATATTATTGGAAACAAAAAATGGCCTAGGAGTCTTTATTTGCTGCATGCACTGAGTGGGACGGTTGACATTAAGACAATTCTCACAGTAATACTGTCAGAATCCAATTATATTTCATTTCTAGTTATCGACTATGGAAAACCCCATTTCTGCCCTCTCTGGATTCTGTCATACTACGAAGGGGAAGGGGGATGAGCAAAGGGGTTTTATGGCTCTCCCTTCATTAAAATTTCAAAGGGACTGAATGTGGATCTCACCAAGAGGACTGACCATAACAATATGGCCCATCAGCTTTCATCTACTACTCTCTGAAGTCTCCCTTCTGCCCGTCGAGAGGAAAAAGGGGTGGAAATGTAACGCCTGGGATTGTCGATTGAAGGACGGTGGAGTGGGGGCTGCTTGGGAACACTTAAAACCTTGAATGGTAGGGGTTGGCCCCAGATCCTGTCTAGAACGCCTGCAACCATCTTCTCTTAATAAAGATGCCTGTTGGAAGAGATATTTCAAGAGTGCTGTCTTCTTAAGATGTAAAGTGGGGTGGGTCCTTACATTAGACAGGATCTGCAAAATTAGTCCACCTGGAAGGGAGAACCTTGCCGGGGGGGAGGGGGGCTTTGCAAAAATTACCATGTCAGACGACGGAGCAGGGAAGGGAGAAAACTCCCCGGAAAGGGAGCCGCTGCCCCGACTGAAGCCCTGCCAGATGTCGGGATCTGAGAGGTCAGATTCCTCAGGAGAAGAGGTGGTGGAGACACATAACCACAAACCTCGGTGGTCAATGGGCGTTGCAAAGAAAGGCGAGTAGGAAAGGAAATCAAGAAAGGTGACCCTGAGACGGGGGGCCAACCAACCAGAATGGAAGCAGGAGATGGGGAAATCCCTGCAAGCAAGTGAAGAGGAAGGGAGCTGGGCACCGTACTCGGGCTGGATCCTAGAGAAAGCTGATGAAGAGAACCCTCAGCTCCCTAGGAGAGGAGAATTCTGAGCCCTACGGCCACACCAGCTCCCGGAGCTGCAACTGGAGAGACACCGAGGGGGAAGTGGAACCTGCAGACCCGGGGATCCCACTCCCCGCCGACCCGCAGATGGCAATCTGGATGGAAGACACCACCAACAACAACAAAGGCACCGATCCATTCAAAGACTCCCGCCGCTGGATGTGAGATTCAAGGGGGAGCCGACACGCTTGGGGTTTTTCCTAACCCAAGTCCTCAGCTACATGGAGGAATACGGGCGGCACATCCCCAGCGACAAAGCCCGTATCCGGATCATGCAATCTGCGCTGGACGGGCCGGCCGCAGATTGGGTGGTGAACTTGCACGACTCCAATGCCCCAGAACTCAACGACTTCAACCGTTTCATGTCCTCTCTGAGAAGGCAATTTGAGGACCCCTTGGCTGATCGCAAAGCCCGTGAAAGGATAAAAACGATGAGGCAAGGCAAACGCCCGGTAGCCGAATATACGCAAGAATTCCGGGCCATTGCCAGCAAACTGAACTGGCCAGAAGACATCCTCCTTAGCCACTTCAAAGACGGACTAAACTACAACCTATATGACGCTTGCCTGCCCCGAGGGGACCCACACCAACTTGATGAATGGTACGTCCTGGCAGAGGAAGCAGAGATCGACCTACTGAAGAGGCACCGCCGAGGAAAACAATGGAGCCGCTCACTGCCTGAGTTGACACGTGAACCAGTGAAACCATCGGCTACAGCCAAGAAGCAAATGGGGTGTTTCAAGTGTGGGAGAGAGGGGCATCAGGCTGTAGAATGCTGCTCAAAAGCCCCCCAGCACAACCCAGACAGATCACTGGCCAGCAGATCCGGGAAGTCTCCAGCTAAGCCAAAAGAACCTGCCATGAGAGTGATGGAGGCTGTGGAACTCCCTACCTCTGTCCATCGTGGGGAAGGAACTCCAGCCTACACCGCATGGCCGGTGGATGCCTCAGACGACAGCTCGGAGTGCGAACCCCTGGTAAGTGGACCCATCGCACCCATCCTCAAGACATTGACTATATTAATTCCCCCCATGCCCGAAGCCGTGAAGGTGAAAGCCTTAATAGACTCTGGCTGCACCCGCTAACTCATTAGCCCGACGCTAGTGGGGAATCTGGGCATTCCGTCGAGGAGACTGGAACAACCAATCACATTTGACCAGTTAGATGGGTCCATAGCAGAGGGGGGGTGCCAGCTACCCTAGCCACTTTACCAATACACCTCTCCCTGGGCAAACATGAGGAAGACATAACATTTGTAGTGACCCCAGGCATGGAATGCCCAATGATCCTAGGGATGGAATGGTTAAAGAAATGGAACCCCTGGGTGAATTGGAGGATGGCAGAAATCAATTTCCCGAAAGGGGACCCTATGGACTTAAAATCCCAAGGGGAGCTACCAAAATTAAGAACGGAAAAAGCATCCATGGGAGAGGAAAAGGGACTACCAGAAATACCAGAAGAATACAGAGATCTTGCTGAAGTTTTCAGTGAGGAGACTGTGCCATTGAATTCAAGCCTGGGTCAACCCACAGACTGTGCCATTGAATTCAAGCCTGGGTCAAAACTCCTGAAGCCCAGGCTATACTCCATGAGCCCAAAGGAGAAGGAGGAAATGGAAAGATTCATAAAGAAAAACCTAGAAAGGGGGTTCACTGAGCCAGCCAAGCCTAAAGTGGCCGCCCCGGTCCTCTTTAGAGAGAAAAAGAACGGCTTTTTACGCTTATGCGTGGATTATAGGCTCCTGAATACAATCAGTGAAAACAACCTATACCCCCTGCCCCTCATGAAGGACATGTTGTCACACCTCTCGAAAGGGATTTTTTTTTTTTTTACTAAACTAGACCGAAGGGAAGCTTACTATTGTGTGAGAATTAAGGAAGGGGATGAATGGAAGACCGCATTTAACTGTCCCATGGGGTGCTACCAATTCAAAGTCTTGCCATTTGGATTACAAGGGGCCCCCGCAGTATTTATGCAATTAATCAATGACGTTCTAAGGGAGCACCTATTTAAGGGGGTCCTGGTTTACTTAGATGGCATTCTTATCTTCACCGAATCAAAAGAGGAACATGTCAACCTAGTCACAGCGGTTTTAAAGAAACTGCGAGCCGCCCATCTATATGCCAAACTCTCAAAATGCGAATTCTACCAGGAAAGGATAGACTACCTAGGTTATTGCATATCCCCACAGGGCATTGAAATGGACCCAGAGAAGGTCAGAGCAGTATT